AGATTTTATGTGTATCATCCACCACAAACATACCAGTATTCCTTTCTCTCTCTCCATTCGTGTGCTACCTGCACCAATGACAGACCCGGATCAAACTTGGCACACATAACCACCATGACCCACTTTACGTCCTAGTGCAGTCTGGGGGAGGATGGACCACAGACAATGGGATTTACAGGACCTTCACCTGCTTTCACAGAGCACTGCGACCCCGCACAAATGATGGACTTAGACCAAACTTGGCACATAGATCCTCCCCATGACCAACAGAACATAATGGAAGGGTTTTTGGAGGGACTGACCTACCCACATGGGAGTTATAGTACACCCTGCATCCAGAGACCATTGTGAACCCAAGGATGGACCTGGACCAAACCTGGCACACAGAAATCTGGTGACCAAAAGAACACACTGGGGTGGGGAACTGACAGACCTGCATGGGAGTTCTACTTTGCCCTGTATCCAGAGCTCATCATGACCAAAAGAACATAATACAGGAGTTTGGGGAACTGACCCACCCGCATGGGAATTACACTTCACCCTGCATCCTGCAAGTTGCTTCTGGTGTGATAGAATTGGCAGTCTGCAAGGACGTTGCCCAGGGGATGCCCAGAAGTTTTACCATCCTGTGGGAGGCTTCCGTCATCCCCCCACACAAGGTTGGAGCTGACAGATGGGGGCTCACCCTGCTCCCCGGATTTGAATTGCCAACTTTTTAGTCAGCAGTCCTACCAGCAGAAGGGTTTAACCCATTATGCCACTGTCCTGGTACAGCTGTACCAGGAGCTCCAACTTTATTTGCTTTGTATTAAATGTTTGATTGCAGTCCTAGGTTTCAGGGACTCTGCAGATAGGTGGCTTCTTTTGGTTGCAGACATAGGGCAAGTCGCCTGTCCATCATCGTTAAGTTTTGGTCCCGCCCCTTGCTCAGGGCAATTGGGAAGGGAAGGGAGCAATTTTTTAGTTAGTCTCAGCAAGGAAAGCTAATGTATAGAGCTAATGTATAGGATGTGTGCAGGCTTCCCCTGTACAAATGCTTCAACATTTAAGAATTTCCAGGAAAACAGCCCTAAAGACCAAAGAACTCCAGCTGGAGAACATCTAAGCCTTTACTGGTAGGTCCACTCGGCGTTCGAGAAGCAGTTCGACCCGGTAGCGGAGCTCACATCAGTAAGGGTTAGATTACAGTCAGCCTGGGAGAAGTTAAAAAGGGGATTTTCCTTTAAAGAAGAAGTTATTGAAGACAGTTGCCTGTCCTTCGTGGGCAAGATTAGGAATTCACCAGTTGCCTAAAAGCTTGGAATCATTTGCTTAACTTTACTGAAGACAAGAGAAGTTTCTGTTTGATTGTTCATTAATAAAAGACTTTGTTGTACTTCACAAGCCATCTAAAGACTATTTGTGGTGAAAAACCTCTGAGAACTTCTCTTTAGACCCCCTGGCTTCCCGCTGGGTAAAGATTGCACATCCTGTTCTAAAGGAAATTCTTTACAGGCCCAGCATGCAACAGAACAGCCACCAATAACTGACCTGGACCAAACTTGGCATACAGACCCAACGTAGCCAACTGTGAATACTAGCTAGCGTGGTTTGGAGGTGATTGACCTTGGCATATGGGAATTGTAGTTCACCCATACCCATTGAACCCAGCTGACTTTGGATCTAGACTACACTTGGAGCACAGAGAAACAATGCCTTTTTCAAATAACCCGGGCATCACCGGGTCCCCAAGCTAGTAGTTAATAAAAGTGATATATATACATAATGATATAGTATAAAATCGTTATATACAATATAGTTAATAAAACGTAGTATATATAAATAATTATATAGATAAAAACAATAATATATAATACTAATAAAATATAACAATAGTAATAATGTAATCTCCCAATAGTAATATATAATCTAATCTAGTAATAATTCAGAATAATAGTAATATATAAGAATAATATAGTATAAAATAATAGTTACAATAATGTAGTGTATTAATAATATATAATAACAACATATTATATAGCTATTCTAATAATACTATAAATGAATAATAATAGTAACATTTAATAGTAATATACAACGATAACATAGTATAAGACAGTATAATAGTAATATCTATTAATAACAGTTAAATAATAGCAATAATAATGTTATAGTCTAATAATAACATATAATAACATTAATAGTCTAATTATAGCAATACAATAATACTACAATAATATAGTAATAATATAGTATAATAGCCTTTCAAACGAAGAAACAATTTTAAAGATAATAATATTCTTACATAATTACAACAACAACCAATAATGATGACGTCCAACTCTGTCACTCCTTCCCACCTGCTACTAAGGAGGCTGTTCAGGTCCTGAACCGGTGCTTGGCCGCTGTAATGGTCTGGATGAGGGCGAACAAATTGAAATTGAATCCAGACAAGACAGAGGTACTCCAGTTGTAAGGCCGAACAGGGCACAGGGTTACAGCCAGTGTTGGACGGGGTCACACTCCCCCTGAAGACGCAGGTTTGCAGCTTGGGTGTGATCTTAGACTCATCACTGAGCCTGGAACCTCAGGTTTCAGTGGTGACCAGGGGAGCATTCGCACAGTTAAAACTTGTGCGCCAGCTGCGCCCGTACCTTGGGAAGTCTGACGGCCACAGTAGTCCTCGCTCTGGTTACATCCCGTATAGACTACTGCAACGCTCTCTACGTGGGGTTGCCTTTGAAGACTGCTCGGAAGCTTCAAATGGTCCAACGCTCGGCAGCTAGGTTACTAACAGGAGCGGCACTCAAGGAGCATACAACTCTTCTGTTGCGCCAGCTCCACTGGCTGCCAGTTTGCTACCGGGCACAATTCAAAGTACTGGCGTTAGCCTATAAAGCCCTAAACGGTTCTGGCCCTACTTACCTCTCCGAATTCATCTCCTCCTATGAACCAACTAGGACATTAAGATCCTCTGGGGAGGCCCTGCTCTCAGTCCCGCCTGCATCACAGGTGCGCCTGGTGGGAACGAGAGACAGGGCCTTCTCAGTGATGGCCCCTCGGCTGTGGAACGCCCTTCCTATAGATATCAGATCGGCCCCATCCCTACTGGCGTTTCAGAGGAAAGTGAAGATCTGGCTTTTTGAACAAGCATTTGATTAAGCAGTGTAATGAATATAGGAACACGGATTAAGGGATGATGGGATTGGATTCTGATTTTACTGATGAGACGTTAATTATTGTTATATTGATGTTTAATTGTTGATGATGCTATTGTTTTAACTGTCCCATAATCGTTTTATGATGTTTTGCATTGAATTTTGCTGTTGTTAACCGCTTTGAGTCACCTGAGGGCTGAGAAAAGCGGTATATAAATGAAGTAAATAAATAAATAGATAAATAAATAAATAACTGATGACAATAATCGTAATAATATCAACAATATCAATAACTACAGGTTCCGATGGTATTTCTTATCTTTGAGAGGTTTTAAAATATAGTCCTCTCTCCCTCCTTCACACACACACCTCTATATACATAAAAGTGAAAAGTGGAGGTGTCACTTCCACAGACAGGCTCCCGCCTCCACAAACAGCTATAACCCACAGTGTTGAGCCATCAAATGTTCTCCCTCCAACGACATTTCAGGTGAGTGTCGTAAACATGTCCAAGAGCTCTGCCAATGTCCCCTCCAAAAACAATACTGCCCACCACCCAAGTGAAGGCTTTCATTCAGGTACAATTTCATCCTCGATTTTCTGTTTTACTTCCACCACAGATATCCCAAACATAAAATGTTTGTAATATAAATTATTGCTATTATAGAAATACTGATTACAGAAATGGTAAAATTTATTATATAAAGTATTTTTATTATTATTACTGCTTTAATTTTTTTTATTTTGCTTATGAGTATATAATGTATTTGTTATGCTCTTGTTTTATTGAGGGCCTTGGCCTTTGTAAGCCGCATCGAGTCCTTTGGGAGATGTTAGCGGGGTACAAATAAAGTTAATAATAATAATAATTATTATTATTCTAGATCAGGGGTTCTCAAACTAAGGCCCGGGGGCCGGATACGGCCCTCCAAGGTCATTTACCCGGCCCTTGCTCAGAGTCAACCTTAGTCTGAAATGACTTGAAAGCACACAACAACAATCCTATCTCATCAGCCAAAAGCAGGGAGCCCCCAGTGGCGCAGTGGGTTGAACCCCAGTGCTGGCAGGACTGAAGACCGACAGGTCGCAGGTTCGAATCCGGGGAGAGGCGGATGAGCTCCCTTTATCAGCTCCAGCTCCTCATGCGGGGACATGAGAGAAGCCTCCCACAAGGATGATAAAAACATCAAATCATCCAGGCGTCCCCTGGCCAACGTCCTTGCAGACGGCCAATTCTCTCACACCAGAAGCGACTTGCTCCTGACACGACAAAAAAAAATCTTCAGAGATCTGTTGGAAATGAGGCAAGTGAAGTGTATATATACGAGGGATGTTTGTTAAAAAATTTCCCTGACCCACTTCCAGTGGACTGAGAACACTGAAACTTGGCACGGTTCTGAGTCCTCTGGGCGTCCCCTGGCCAACGTCCTTGCAGACGGCCAATTCTCTCACAATAGGAGCGACTTGCGGTTTCTCAGGTCACTCCTGACACGACAAAAAAAAAAGCCAAAAGCAGGTCCACACTTTCTATTGAAACACTAATAAGGTTATATTTGTTAAAATTGTTCTTAACTTTAATTATTGTATTGTTTTTGCACTACAAATAAGATATGTGCAGTGTGCACAGGAATTCATGTTTTTTTCAAATTATAATCCGGCCCTCCAAAAGTTTGAGGGACTGTGACCTGGCCCTCTGTTTAAAAAGTTTGGGGACCCCTGTTCTAGACAGCCAGGCCAAGAGCTGAGGGCTTGTTCTCGTGGCGCATGCGCAGGAACGGGAGGCGCGCGAGCATGCGCAGAAGTGAGGCTGCCCTGGCCTGGCCGCGGCGCATGCGCAGACCCTTCGCGGCCTACTCCTTTTACCTGCACGATCTCGCCCTCGGCGCTGAGCGTGGCCCCGGCGCGGGCGAAGCGGCCCTGGAGTCCTGCGGTGTAGGTGGAGTACTCCCCGCCGGGTCCCGGCTCGAAGAGGACCACCTCCACGAAGGCCTGAGCGGAAGAGGAGGCCGCCGCTTGAGGAGAAGAAGCAGCAGAAGCTGAAGATGCCGCCATGATGGAGACGGAGAAGAAGATGAGAAAGGAGGAGAAGGCCACGCCCCCCTCCGAGGAAAGAGGCGGGGCCGTCATCGCGGCGACGGAAGCCCGGAGGGGGCCATAGCCGCTAAGCCCCCCGTCAGCTGCCGACGACGCCTTTTTGGCCCCGCCGGCTCCCCTTCCTCCGCGCCGAGGAAGCCACGCCCTCGCGAGGGAGGGAGGGCGGGGCTAAGTCAAAGACCCTCCTTCAGTTGACGTGCTAAAAAGGGGCGGAGCTACCGAATAGTCTCCCCTGAATGGGTTTACGGGAGAGAAAGGGGCGGGGCTAAAGCATAGGCACGCCCCAGCGGAATAGTAACTTGGAATCTAGCGGACGAAGGGCGGGGTTACTGGATAGGCCACGCCCCTTCGTTCTCAATAGATTGTTATGACGTGCACGGAAAAGGGCGGCTACAGAATAGGCCACGCCCCTTCGCGCTGTCGTTCAAAGTGCTTGGAAAGAGGCGGGGCTAAGTGATAGCCACGCCTCCTGTTTCGCATCTATAGAAGTGTATAGTACTAACGTGTAAAATAGAGGGTGTTGTTGCATGATAGACACGCCCCCTCTTTTCCTCTCGGAAAGGCAAGGAAGAGGCGTGGCTAAGATACAGACACGCCCTCGTCTTGTCCATCAATAGACGTATTTATTTATTCAGAGGCAGTTGCATTGCATTTTTTAACAAACAAACAAGCAAAACACAAAGTTTGCAAGCTTGGTAGTTGGTTAAATGTCCTTTGACCAGTATCTGGCCACTTGGAGTGCTTCTGGTGTTGCCGCAAGGAGGTCCTCCATTGTGCATGTGGCGGGGCTCAGGTTGCATTGCAGCAGGTGGTCAGTGGTTTGCTCTTCTCCACACTCGCATGTCGTGGATTCCACTTTGTAGCCCCATTTCGAAAGGTTGGCTCTGCATCTCGTGGTGCCAGAGCGCAGTCTGTTCAGCGTCTTCCAAGTTGCCCAGTCCTCTGTGTGCCCAGGGGGGAGTCTCTCATTTGGTATCAGCCATTGGTTGAGGTTCTGGGTTTGAGCCTGCCACTTTTGGACTCTCGCTTGCTGAGGTGTTCCAGCAAGTCTCTCTGTAGATCTTAGAAAACTATTTCTAGATTTAAATCGTTGGTGTGCTGGCTGATACCCAAACAAGGGATGAGCTGGAGGTGTCACTGCCTTAGTCCTTTCACTATTGGCTGCTACTTCCCAGCGGATGTCACGTGGTGCAATATCGGCTAAGCAGTGTAGTTTCTCCAGTGGTGTAGGGCGCAGACACCCTGTGATAATGCGGCATGTCTCATTAAGAGCCACATCCACTGTTTTAGCGTGGTGAGATGTCTTCCACACTGGGCATGCATACTCAGCAGCAGAGTAGCATAGCGCAAGGGCAGATGTCTTCACTGGGTCTGGTTGTGATCCCCAGGCTGTGCCAGTCAGCTTTCGTATGATATTGTTTCTAGCGCCCACTTTTTGCTTGATGTTCAGGCAGTGCTTCTTGTAGGTCAGAGCACGGTCCAGAGTGACTCCCAGGTATTTGGGTGCGCTGCAATGCTCCAGTGGGATTCCTTCCCAGGTGATCCTCAGAGCTCGGGATGCTTGTCTGTTCTTGAGATGAAAGGCACATGTCTGTGTTTTAGATGGATTAGGGATGAGCTGTAATAGGCAGAATGAGCACCTAGACCTTCGGAGAGCTTTTGTTCAACCATTTCAAAGCTCCCTGCTTGAGCGGTGATGGCACGATCATCTGCATAGATGAAGCCCTCTCTCCCTTCTGGCAGTGGCTCGTCATTTGTGTAGATGTTGAACATGGATGGGGCAAGCACGCTCCCCTGAGGCAGGCCATTCTTCTGTTTCCACCATCTGCTTCTCTGGCCCTGGAACTCAACAAAAAAGCTCCTGTTTTGTAGCAGGTTTCCTATGAGGCAGGTGAGATGGTAGTCCTTTGTGATATTATACATTTTTCTCAGGAGGAGGCGGTGGTTCACAGTATCATAGGCTGCTGACAGGTCTATAAAGACAGCTCCTGTGATCTGCTGCCTTTCAAAGCCATCTTCTATGTTCTTCAATAGAAGTATTTTTTTTTAATAGTGTCAGGAGCAACTTGAGAAACTCCAAGTCGCTCCTGGTGTGAGAGAATTGGCCATCTGCAAGGACGTTGCCCAGGGGACACCCGGATGATTTGATATTTTTATCATCCTTGTGGAAGGCTTCTCTCATGTCCCCGCATGAGGAGCTGGAGCTGATAGAGGGAGCTCAACCGCCTGACGAAGACTCTTGTGAGTCGCGTGACGAAGACTCTTGTGAGTCGAAACCGGTAGCAGGTTGGAGTCAATTCATGTGACTACTGGAGTAATAAAGAAAGGACATTTTCTCAAACGAAGACTTTGCTTTATACTTCAAGAGAAGAACCAATTGCTTCTACTTATGCGTGTTGTTGTTCATTCGTTCAGTCGTCTCCGACTCTTCGTGACTTCATGGACCAGCCCACGCCAGAGGTCCCTGTTGGCTGTCACCACCCCCAGCTCCTTCAAGGTCAGTCCAGTCACTTCAAGGATGCCATCCATCCATTGCCCTTGGTCGGCCCCTCTTCCTTTTGCCTTCCACTTTCCCCAGCATCATTGTCTTCTCTAGGCATTCCTGTCTGCTCATGATGTGGCCAAAGTACTTCAACTTTGTCTCTAGTATCCTTCCCTCCAGTGAGCAGTCGGGCTTTATTTCCTGGAGGATGGACTGGTTGGATCTTCTCGCAGTCCAAGGCACTCTCAGAACTTTCCTCCAACACCACAGTTCAAAAGCATCTATCTTCCTTCGCTCAGCCTTCCCTAAGGTCCAGCTCTCACATCCGTAGGTTACTACAGGGAATGCCATGGCTTTGACTAGGCGGATCTTTGTTGCCAGTGTGATGTCTCTACTCTTTACTATTTTATCGAGACTGGACATTGCTCTCCTCCCAAGAAGTAAGCGTCTTCTGATTTCCTGGCCACAGTCTGCATCTGCAGTTATCTTTGCGCCTAGAAATACAAAGTCTGTCACGGCCTCCACATTTTCTCCCTCTATTTCCCAGTTGTCAATCATTCTTGTTGCCATAATCTTGGTTTTTTTTTTATGTTTAGCTGCAACCCAGCTTTTGCGCTTTCTTCTTTCACCTTGATTAGAAGGCTCCTCAGCTCCTCCTCGCTTTCGGCCATCAGAGTGGTGTCATCTGCATATCTGAGGTTGTTAATGTTTCTTCCAGCAATTTTCACCCCAGCTTTGCATTCATCAAGCCCCACACATTGCATGATGTGTTCTGCATACAAGTTAAAAAGGTTGGGTGAGAGTAAGCAGCCTTGCCGTACGCCTTTCCCAATCTTGAACCAGTCTGTTGTTCCGTGGTCAGTTCTTACTGTTGCTACTTGGTCCTTGTACAGATTCCTCAGGAGAGAGACAAGGTGGCTTGGTATGCCCATCCCACCAAGAACTTGCCACAATTTATTATGACCCACACAGTCAAAGGCTTTAGAATAGTCAATGAAGCAGAAATACATGTTTTTCTGAAACTCCCTGCCTATGTGTATTTGTAATATATACATTGAGTTAATTTAGTTATTCTCATATCACCATTATCAGTGGATTTTGGTCTCCACAGAGGGAGCTCATCCGCCTCTCCCCGGATTCGAACCTGCGACCTGTCAGTCTTCAGTCCTGCCGGCACAGGGGTTTAACCCACTGCGCCACCGGGGGCTCCTAATAGAAGTACTGCTATGACGTAAAAAGGGGCGGGATTACAGTATAGACACGCCCCCTCTTTCCCCTCATAGCGAAAGGCAAGGAAGGGGCGTGGCTAAGTTACAGACACGCCCCTACCTTGTCTCTCATTAGAAGTACTCTTATGACGTAAAAAGGGGGCGGTGTTACAGTATAGACACGCCCCCTCTATCCTTATAGCGAAAGGCAGGGAAGGGGCGTGGCTAAGTTACAGACACGCCCCTAACTTGTCTCTCAATAGAAGAACTCTTATGACGTAAAAGGGGGCGGTGTTACAGTATAGACACGCCCCCTCTTTATCCTCATAGCGAAAGGCAAGGAAGGGGCGTGGCTACGTTACAGACACGCCCCTACCTTGTCTCTCAATAGAAGTACTCTTATGACATAAAAAGGGGGCGGTGTTACAGTATAGACACGCCCCCTCTTTAGCCTCATAGCGAAAGACAAGAAGGGGCGTGGCTACGTTACAGACACGCCCCTACCTTGTCTCTCAATAGAAGTACTCTTATGACGTAAAAAGGGGGCGGTGTTACAGTATAGACGCGCCCCCTCTTTATCCTCATAGGGAACGGCAAGGAGGGGGGAGGGGCTAATTGATTGGCACGCCCTTTCTCCCCGCTTCTAGGGAAATAGCAGTTGTGACGTGAGGGAAAAGAGGCGTGGCACGGGATAGCCACGCCCCTCTTCATCCTCAATAGAAGTACTGTATTGACGTGCGGGTAAAGGGGTGGGGCTACAAGATAGGTTTTCCCCTTATCATATTATTCCTTCCTTTTGACCTCGCTAAAGTCCGTTGGCCCCGCCCTTTCCCGCCAGGCCCCGCCCCGTCTCGAGCCACTTCTTCTGCGCTTGCGCGGCCAACGTGGCAAGCAAAACGAGCCTGATGCAACGGCTGGGAAAGCTTGTTCAACCCTCGCCCAATCCCGGTGGCCAATAGGAAGCGGCATTCGGAGTGACGTAACGCCGGGGGAGCCAATGGCTGGCGAGGGGGAGGAGCTGCCGGGCGCGGAGAGGTGTCATTCGGGAGGAAGGCGCCGAAGAAGAGAGATGGTTCCTTTGCCGTCGGCTCCTCCGAGGCTGTTGCTTCTGCCCAGTCCCGCCATGGCGATGGGGAGGCCCACAACCGAGGCCTTGCCTTCGCCGGCGTCGCCTTCGCAGCAGCCGCAGCAGCCGAGGAAGAGGCAGCGCCTCGCACACCTCAGCCCCGAAGAGAAGGCCTTGCGCAGGTCCCGCAGAGTCCTATATTCTTAGTACCTTATTATAATAATAATTATAGTAGTATGTCTATTACATTAGTATATTACGCAGGTGCCTACTGTATTACGTATAGTCAATTATATTATTTTTATATTGCTGTTTCTATGTTAGATTATGTCATTTCTGTATTATATTTTACTTTTGTACATTTATATGTTATGGAGCAGACCACACTCAATCCCTTTGTATATTATTATGTATATTAAATTACGTGTATATATATATATATATATATATATATATAATATTATATTATATATGGCTTACATATATAATATGTATAACGCACTTTATATATTAATGACTGGACTTAATGTGAGGGGACTACCTTTACCTTTACCTTATATATATGTAATACTGTTTTATATATATATATATATATATATATATATATAGTATTACTATAGTAATAATACATTTTATATAATACTAGCCATGCCCTGCCACGTGTTGCTGTGACCCAGTCTAATGATTCCCATGTTACCCTCTATTACAGTGTTTCTCAACCTCGGGGTCAGGACCCCAAGGGGGGGTCATGAGGGGGTGTCAGAAGGGTTACTAAAGACAACAGTATTTTCTGTTGGTCATGGGGGTTCTGTATGGGAAGTCTGGCCCAATTGTATCATTGCTGGGGTTCAAAATGCTCTTTGATTGCAGGTGAACTATAAATCCCAGTAACTACAACTCTAAAATGTCAAGGTCTGTTTCCCCCCAACTCCATCTGTGTTTATATTTGGGCATATGGAGCATTCGTGCCAAATTTGGTCTAGATCTTTCATTGTTTGAGTCCAGAGTGCTCTTTGGATTTAGGTGAACTACAACTCCAAAACTCAAGGTGAATGCCCACCAAACCCTTCCAGTGTGTTCTGTTGGTCATGGGAGTTCTGTGTATAATTCCTTCGCTGGTGGAGTTCAGAATGCTCTTTGATTGTAGGTGAACTATAAATCCCAGCAACTACAACTCCCAAATGACAAAATCATAATTTTTTGAGTGATGGTCACTCCTTGTGTTGTGAGACGTTTTGTTGCCAAACTTGGTGTGATTTCGTTCATTGGTTCTTTTGTTTTTAAGGTACTCATTATGCACAGAGCATTTTATATATATAGAAGATATGAAGAAGCCAATATTAAGGAGAGGAGTGATATATAATTAATATGTTGATTTTATATAATATTTATATGATTTTATATAATATTTATTATTTATTTATTTATTTACTTTGCTTATATACCGCTGTATCTCAAGCCCAAAGGCGACTCACAGCGGTTACTTTTATATTATATACAATATATAATTGTATATAATATAAAAGTAACCCAATATCTATTATTATATTATCATAATTATATTTAAAATATTATCATAATATAAAAATATTATCATTTTAAAAGAAGCCAGTATGTATTATTATATTGTTTTTATAGGTTATAGAAATAACTCGGGACTATGTCTGTTCTCGTTTTTATTGTATTTTAAAGTTGGTTGTATTGTTTTAGTCTACTGCTGGAAACCGCTCCGAGCCAAATTGGGAGTACAAGTCAAATAAATAATATAATATATGAAGCCAATATTTGTTTATATTATACAAAAGGAGAGGAATGATATATGCTTTATAGTTACATATGAAATAAATCTATTATTATTGTATTATTATGTATTATTATAATTAAAAGAAGCCAATATTTACTATTATCTAAAAGTGCCTATTATTGTTATATAGTAATGCAGGCTCTCTTTCTGTCCAGAGCCACGTTGGCAGGAAGTAACCTCCTGGCGGCCATGCTTGTGTTGTTGTGCAAACCAGGAAGTAGTTGTTTCTCCTCCCTGGAACCTTATATTATTGTTAATATAGGGATCATTTATTTATTTACAGCATTTATATATTTATAATGTATTTACATTACATCTCTATTTCAGGAAGCTGAAGAACCGAGTGGCAGCCCAAAGCGCCCGTGACCGCAAGAAGGCCCGGATGGGAGAGCTGGAGCGGCAAGCAATCGAGCTGGAGGCACAAGTGAGACTATTATTATTATTAATATGTATATTACATTTTATTATATTTACATTATGTGATTTCTATACTATCTTTATGATTATTATATTACTATGTATATTAAATCATATTATTGAGCTGGAGGCACAAATGAGATTATTATATATTACTAGCTGTCCCCTGCCACGTGTTCTGTGTGGGAGTTTTGGCCCAATTCTGTCATTGGTGGGGTTCAGAACACTCTTTGATTGTTGGTGAACTATAAATCCCAGCAACTACAACTCCCAAATGTCAAGAATCTGTTTTCCCCAAACTTCAGTGTTCACATTTGGGCATATTGAGTATTCTTGTAGAGTTGGGTCCAGATCCATCATTGTTTGAGTCCACAGTGCTCTCTGGATGTAGGTGAACTACAACTCCAAAACCAAAGGACACTGCCCACCAAACCCTTCCAGTATTTTCTGTTGGTCATGGGAGAACTGTGTGCCAAGTTTGGTTCAATTCCATTGTTGGTGGGGTTCAGAATGCTCTTTGATTGTAGGTGAACTATAAATCCCAGCAACTACAATTCCCAAAGGCCAAAATCATTTTTTTTGAGTGAAGGACATAGATTGGATTGTTAGGTGTCTTGTGTCCAAATTTAGTGTCAATTCCCCCAGTGGTTTTTGAGTTCAAACGAACATTACATTTTTATTTATATAGATTATTATGTATATTAAATTATATAATTTTACACTATGTCATTTCTTTATTTTATTTAAATTGAACTGGAAGCACAAGTAAGATTATTACTATTATTAGTAATAGAAATTATATTTATAATAATAACAATAATAATAATAACTTTATTTTTATACCCCGCCTCCATCTCCCCGAGGAGACTCGAGGCAGCTTACAAAGGGACAAGGCCGAAAAAACACAGATTAAAGCAATAAAGTAAAATGAAAATGTAAAAAATGAAATTAACACATTACAATAACACAACATCGTAAAAGCAATCCATGGGCTGAACAGTAAAAATACTAATCTCAAAGTGCTAATAGTTTCTGCATAGAGCTAAGGGAAAGTGCAAAGTTCAATAGAAGTTAGGGCTGGAAGGGTAATGTCATTTGGCACTGCAATGCCAAATTTATACTTATATTTAATATAACATTATTTTGGTCGTGTCAGGAGCAACTTGAGAGATTGCAAGTCACTCCTGGTGTGAGAGAATTGGCCGTCTGCAAGGACGTTGCCCAGGGGACGCCCAGATGATTTGATGTTTTTATCATCCTTGTGGGAGGCTTCTCTCATGTCCCCGCATGAGGAGCTGGAGCTGATAGAGGGAGCTCGTCCGCCTCTCCCCAGATTTTAACCTGCGACCTGTCGGTCTTCAGTCCTGCCGGCACAGGGGTTTAACCCACTGCGCCACCAGGGGCTCATACAACATTGTAATGTACTATAACTAATATATACTTACTTATTAGAGAGATGGGCCAAAACTAACAAAATGAAGTTCAAGGGGGACAAATGCAAGATACTCCACTTTGGCAGGAAAAACGAAATGCAAAGATGCAGAATGGAGGACGATGCCTGGCTCGAGAGCAGTACGTGTGAAAAAGATCTTGGAGTCCTCGTGGACAACAAGTTAAACATGAGCCAACAATGTGATGTGGCGGCAAAAAAAGCCAATGGAATTTTGGCCTGCATCAATAGGAGCATAGTGTCTAGATTTAGGGAAGTCATGCTACCCCTCTATTCCGCTTTGGTTAGACCACACCTGGAATATTGTGTCCAATTCTGGGCACCACAATTCAAGAGAGATATTGACAAGCTGGAATGTGTCCAGAGGAGAGCGACTAAAATGATAAAAGGTCTGGAGAACAAGACCTATGAGGAGCGGCTTAAGGAGCTGGGCATGTTTAGCCTGAAGAAGAGAAGGCTGAGAGGGGATATGATAGCCATGTATAAATATGTGAGAGGAAGCCACAGGAGGAGGGAGCAAGCTTGTTTTCTGCTTCCCTGGAGACTAGGACGCGGAACAATGGCTTCAAACTACAAGAGAGGAGATTCCATCTGAACATGAGGAAGAACTTCCTGACTATGAGAGCCGTTCAGCAGTGGAACTCTCTGCCCCGGAGTGTGGTGGAGGCTCCTTCTTTGGAAGCTTTTAAACAGAGGCTGGATGGCCATCTGTCAGGGGTGATTTGAATGCAATTTTCCTGCTTCTTGGCAGGGGTTGGACTGGATGGCCCATGAGGTCTCTTCCAACTCTTTGATTCTATGATTCTCCATATCTCACCCAGGCTTTTATCAATATTATTATGTGTATTTGGCCCACCCACCGTGCTTTTATTTTATTTTTTATCATGTTATTTTGCATTTGATTATTTTGATTTTGATTATTTGCTTATTTTGCATTTGATTATTTCATTTTCTGTTATTTTCTGTATTTTGTTTAGATGTTATTCGTTGTTGTTTGTATCTCATTTTATTTTGTTATACTTTAATTCTGGGCTTGGACTTACGTTAGCCACCTCGAGTCCCCTTTGGGGAGATGGTGGCGGAGTATAAATAAAGATTATTATTATTATTTGAAACACAACAAAATGAGTCTACAACAGACAAGGTCACTCTGCTGGCTATTGTATTGGATCATACATCGGACCCATCCCAAGTGTCTAGGACTGTGTGATGTATCAGTGAATAATGCATGCAGATCCTAGTAAGGTGGCCTTCTGCAGCTAGCAGATGGTAATTTTGTCAGCGTCGATTGTGTTTAAGTGCAGGCCAAAGTCTTTAGGCACTGCACCCAGTGTGCCGATCACCTCTGGGATGTACCTTTACATCGACAATCCATATTTTGTTTTTTAATTAATAATTTTTAATATTACACTGTTCAACGGAGAAAAAGTTTCGGGCCTGAAAACAGTTGTTCTTTTATGATTTTGGGGTGCTGAAAATGAAAATGACATTTAAAAATGTATATTGGCTCTAGTTTTTATGATATAAGCAATCACGTGATCACGTATGGTTGAAAAAATGCATGTTGCGACTTACACTATGGAAGATTATAGAAAAGGCTTGAAAATAGCTGTTCTTTTATGATTTTGGGGTGCTGAAAACGAAAATGACATTTAAAAATGTATATTGGCTCTAGTTTTTATGATATAAGCAATCACGTATGGTTGAAAAAATGCATGTTGCGACTTACACTATGGAAGATTCTAGAATACTCTAGAAAGTTTGATGACGCAGTATTAGTGCTGTGTGCAAAAGCCAGAAAGCCCTATATAAGGCCAGACTTTTGAACGGTGAGGGTCAGTCAGTTGAAGACTGAGACAGTATCGTTAAACATCGTTTTACATTGTTCTTTTTACTGTAGTTATGCCTCGCACATGTGTAAATAAAGCACTATGGAAAAAAGATATCAAGGCAAATGGACTCCGTCAATGCTGTCAGACTACTGCTGGAGCATTGTAAGAGACAATCCTTTCCTTGAATACAAAAGAAAAGTCAAGAGAAGCAAACAGGATAAAAACTAAAGTCACGATTAAAGCGACATTTAAACTTTCAGACTTTTCAACTGCATTAGGCCTACTAATATAGTTTCTTGCTGCACAAACATAAACAATAGACTAATTAAATATTTCTCATGTATAAACTATTGGCAATATAATTTGACTAAAATTTAGTAAATATTCACAGTTTATATACATGCAGTAAGGTTAGGCGCATTATCATAATATTAACGAATTACCTATTGTGGAGAAAATTGAAATAGCTGTTGCATAAAAACCAGAGCCAATTAACACATTTAATTATTATATTTCAATTCAGCATGTTAAATTTATTAAGAAACGGCACATTTCGTTTCCGTAACTGAGAAAAACTGAAAATTTGTAGAACAGTGTAATTAGAGCCCCCGGTGGCGCAGTGGGTTAAAGCCCTGTGCTGGCAGGATTGAAGACCTGTGTTAGTATAAGAAAAGCACCACAGTATAGTAATATAATATATATTATATATACTACAACTTACAATACAGTACAATATATTAATAGTATAATATACTTGTAGTGTATTATATATATTGCAATATACTAATATAATACAATATAATACAATATAATTGTATATGATATATTGCGTGTAGCATTACTAATATTGCAGTATAGTACATAATACCAATATTTTGCTGTGCTAATATAATATATTCTATCAACATATAAAATTGATAATAATATAATATTAATAATAGAATATAATAATATTGCAATATAGTAATACGAATTTATGATTCTACTTCCTGCAGAACCAGCGCCTGTCAGAGGAGAACCGCCGGCTGAGGGAAGAAGCTCAGGGATTGGCCTCCGAGAACCAGGAGCTCCGCCTCCGCTTGGCGGGGCTCCACCCATCAGAAGCAGGAGGGGGCGGGGCCATAATCGTGTCTACGAAGGAGGAAGATGGAGGAGGTGCATTAACCCCGGCTGGGCCGGCTAAGTCCGCAGCACTTGGCTCAAGTGTTCCTCTGCAGAAGGGACAGGCACAGCACCGGGGGACACTCAACTCCGTGGAGGACACTCCACTTCTCTTCCTCCTCCCATGGATACAACTATGGGTACTTCAGGCGCTGAGGTGAGACCATCATCATCATCATTTTATTTATTTATTTATTTACTGCATTTTTACCCCACTCTATGTATCTCAACCCCAGAGGGCACTCAGAGCAGCTTCCAAATTGTCAACAAATCATTGCCACATTAAGACATTAAATAAGCTGTTAAACATGACACGTAGACCCGAAATCATAATCCAGAAGCCGTTTCAAATTATATTCCATAACTGCATGTTGCCCTGTTATGATTATATATTACTATTAAAATTATTTATTACTGTAGATATATTATTTATTTATTTAGGGTTTTTTTATACCGATCTTCTCACCTCGAGAGGGACTCAGATTCGGTTCACAACATGTGTCAAATACAATTTTACAACACACAGTGCATTATCAAAAAACATTAAAAACATCCTTCAATGAACAGTATACAATATACTATTGTATTTAATAATACAATAATAATACTATATTATAATATAGTAATAGCAATACATAATAATATATAATATAATTAATAATACAATATATAATAATAACACAATAATACAATAATTAATAATACAATATATTATTGTGTTATTATTGTATATTGTACTATTAATTATTGTATTATTAATTGTGTTATTATTATATATTGTATTCTTAATTATATTATATATTATTATGTTTTGCTATTACTATATTGTAATGTACAATTCTTATTGTAATCTATATATATAAAAATGCTCGGTGCATAATGAGTACCTTAAAAACAAAAGAACCAATGAACGAAATCACACCAAATTTGGCAACAAAACGTCTCAGTACACAAGGAGTGACCATCACTCAAAAAATTATGATTTTGTCATTTGGGAGTTGTAGTTGCTGGGATTTATAGTTTACCTACAATCAAAGAGCATTCCGAACCCCACCAATGATGGAATTGGGCTAAACATCCCACACAGAACCCCCATGACCAACAGAAAACTCTGTATATATTACAACGCATGCGCAGAACCGCATATATACACACAAACATACATATAAACATATATACACAAATATATACACATATATGCATATATACACACACAAAACACATACACACAGAAAGGGGGAAAGAAGAAGAGAAAGAGGGAAAGAAAGAGTGAAGGAGAGAAGGAAGGAAAGAAAGAAAGGTAGAAAAGGAAGGAGAGAAGGAAATAAAAAAGTGATAGAAGGAAAAAAAGAGAGAGGGAAGGAAGGAGAGAAGAAAGGAAGGAGAAAGAGGGAAGGAAGGAAGGAAAGAGACAAGGAAGGATAGAACCAAAGAGCAAAGGAAGGGAGGAAAGAAACAGGTAGAGAAGGAAGAAAGAATAAGAGAAAGTAGAAGGGAAAGAAAAAGAGAGAGGGAAAGAAGGAGGAAAGGTTGGCCACAGCAACGTGTGGCGGGTACAGCTAGTGTTATATAAAATATGATATATATTCTATTATCATTTATTTATTTACGTCATTTGTATACTGTGGTTTCCAACATATTCATGACAAAATTTAATGCCTCGCAAACATAGGAAAACCTCACATAAAATTATTATTATTATTATTATTATTATTATTATTATTATCTTTATTTATACCCCGCAAAATCTCCCGGAGGACTCGATGCGGCTTACAAAGGCCAAGGCCACAAACAACAATAACATACACTGCTTCTGCATCACTACTTCTTCTTCTCCTACTACTAGTAGTAGGTATGGTGCCAGAATGCTGAGTCTCAACACATACACAATAAGTCATAAGCAAATAAAAACATCAAGCAAAGCATTAGAACAATAAAAAAAACAATGACACAGTGACGCATTTAAAAACCAAGGGCCGGGCCAAGTGTAATAGACAAAATTTAAAAGTGCTGGACTTGACAAGTGATATGTAGAGGTATTTGGAGGTAGGTGCAATGTGCAAATAACCCTGAATCTCTAACAAAGTGCATTTGGGACTTGATGCCAGAAGTTTCCTATTCTGGAAAGGCATACTGGAACAGCCAGGTCTTCAGATTCTTCCTAAAGACAGCCAGCGTTGGGGCTTGTCTGATGTCCTTGGGGAGAGAGTTCCAGAGTCGGGGGGCCACCACAGAGAAGGCCCTGTCCCTTGTCCCCACCAAACGCGCCTGTGACACAAGTGGGATCGTGAGCAGGGCCTCTCCCAATGATCGAAGGGAATGCATGGGTTCATATATGGAGATGTGGTCACGCAGGTAGGCGGGTCCCAAACCGTTTAGGGCTTTGTAGGTAAGCACCTGCACCTTGAATTGGGATCGGAAGATGAACGGCCGCCAACCGTTGGACCAGTTGGAGTTTCCGAGCCGTTTTCAAGGGCAGTCCCACGTAGAGCGCATTACAGTAATCCAATCTAGAGGTGACCAAGGCATGGACCACCCTGGCAAGATCAGCCTTTACGAGGTATGGTCGCAGTTGGCACACGAGTCTCAGTTGTGCAAAAGCCCTCCTGGCCACCGCCGACACCTGAGCCTCAAGTGTGAGTGATGAGTCCAGGAGGACACCCAAACTGCGGACCTGTGATTTCAGGGGGAGTGTAACCCTGCCCAGCACAGGTTGCCACCCTATACCCCGATCCGGTTTTCGATCCACCAGGAGGACCTCTGTCTTGTCGGGATTAATCTTCAGCTTGTTCTCCCTCATCCAGACAGCCACAGCGGCCAGGCACTCGTCCAGCACCCGAGGGGCTTCCTTGGAATTAGGTGGAAAACGAGTAGTAGAGTTGTGTGTCATCTACATAGAGATGGCACCTAACTCCAAAACTCCGGATGACCTCTCCCAGCGGTTTCATGTAGATGTTAAAAAGCATGGGAGACAAAATAGAGCCTTGCGGGACCCCACAGGTCAAAGGCCAGGGGTCCGAGCAGGCGTCTCCTAGCTTCACCATCTGAGATCTACCCTCCAGGAAGGACCGGAGCCACGACAAAACCGTGCCCCCAAGACTCATCCCAGAGAGTCGCCCCAGAAGGATACCATGATTGATGGTATCGAAAGCCGCTGAGATGTCCAAGAGAACCAGCAATAAACAACAATTACTATCAAATCATAAAACGTAACAACATAAAACATATTAATATAAACATTAAAATCACATGATGGAAAAACACAATGAACTGTATAAAACTTGAAACAAGTTAAAACCACATACATATACACAATAAACACTGGATAAAACCCCCAAAATCTTTCAGTAAAAGGCTATGTTTTGACCTGGTGCTAAAACAGTGGTTCTCAACCTGTGGGTCCCCAGATATTTTGGCCTTCAACTCCCAGAAATCCTAACAGCTGGTAAACCTCCTGGGATTTCTGGGAGTTGTAAGCCAAAATACCTGGGGATTCACAGGGTTGAGAAGCACTGTTCTAAAGTGAAGCCAATACTGGTGTCAATCAACCCGCTTAGCGAGAGAGCACTGTTCCAATGGATTGCCCCAACAGCGAAGGCACTTTCTCATCTCCTGGTGGTGTTTTGCTCCCACTGGTGGAACACAGGAAGGTTTATTCAGCAGCAGGCAAACATAGGAAGAGGTACTCCTTCAGGAAATGTCCAAATGTTATTTCGAGCTTTAGTTATCACCAAAATATATATTACATCATTATTTTTGTATTTGTACACATGCAAACCATACATATACACATATATACACATACATTGCCTACCTTCATAACCTTTGAAAAGCCTTACAGCTTAAAAGCCTGGCTTCTTCCTGCCTACAGGAAATCCTTGTGGGGAGGTGTTCCCCAGCCCAGATTGTTTCATGTCCGGGATTCCTCTTTTCTCAGGCCACAGCAACGCATGGCCAGGGTACAGCTAGTAGTTATATATATTATATCATTATTCTTATATTATTAAATAAGTAATTATATATATTATCTACTATATTATATTATTATTAATAGTATTATTTAATTATTGTTCTTATGTTATTATTATATATTCTTATTCTTCCTTTTCCCCCCAGCCTGGTGTGCTTGTGGGCCTGCTGGAGGGCCTGGACCCGGCGCTCTTCCTGCTGGAGGAAGGAGAACAGGAAGAGGAAGTCCTCCATTGTCGGCCATATTGCACCGACTCCATTCCCGTACGGGGCCCCCCTTTTCCTGCGTTGGGGCCCCCAGAACGTGGCCTGGAGGCCCCTGATGGACCCGCCATCCGCGCCGACCACCCGTACACCAAACCCCTCCCCTTCGAAGTCGAGATGATGATGAAACAGGAAGAGGCAGAGCTCCTGCTTCCCTCGCCTCTCTCGTTCTTAGAGGCTGAGGTCGAGGAGATGATGAAACAGGAAGAGGCAGAGCTCCCTTTGCTCCCGCCTCCCTCGCCCTCCACTTCCTGTTTCCTGGAACCGTCAGGAAGTGGCGATGACTCCGACTTTGAGGGCAACTCCCCCTTCACAGACTTCGCTGCCGCCTGGGAGCTCTTCCCTCAGCTTGTCACCGTCTGAAGGAGGACTCAAAATGACCACCCTACTCTCCCCTAAGGGAAAGGGATTCCAAAATGGCCGCCTTTCCCCAGTAGAAATGAGAGGCCTTTCTCCGTTATTATTATTCCTCCATTGTTTTCTCTCAGAGAAGGGATTTCAAATTGGCTTCCCTTCCCCATCATTTTGGCCACAGAGAAAGGGATCCAAAATGGCTGCCTTCCCCAATAGAAAAGATGAGGCCTCTCTCCATTGTTTTCCTTCAGAAAAGGGATTCCAAAATGGCCACTTTTCTCTGTTTTCCCCTGAAAGGATTCCAAAATGGCAGCCTTTCCCCACTAGAAAAGAGTGAGGCCTACATCATATTAGAAGCCTTTCCCTATTGTTTTCCCTCAGGAAAGGGATCCAAAATGGCCACCATTCCCCAGTAGAAAAGAGCGAGGGCTACATCATGAGCAGCTATTACTATTCCACTCTTTTCCCCTCAGAGAAGGGATTTAAACAGGCCTCTGTTCCCAACAGAAAAGAGTGAGGCCTCTCTCCATTATTAAGAGAAGACTCCATTATTGTACCATTGGAAAGGGACTCCAAAATGGCCAGTCTTCGTCTTTTTGACCTCAGAAAAGATGTAAAATGGCCACCATTCCGTAATAGGAAAGAGAACAAGGCCTAGATCATGAGAGAAGCCTTTCTCCACGATTTCTGTATTGTTTCCGCTCATAAGAATCCAAAATGGCTGCCGTCCCCAATAGACAGAGTTGAGCCTATATAGATAACTTTCTCTATTACATTCAGAGAAGGGATTCAAAATGGCCACCATTCTCTATTCAGTAGCTGGAAAGGGGAGTGGCCTCAAAGCAGGAGGTGGGGCTTAATGGTTGAAAAAAGCCTAAAAGGAAAGGGGTGTGGCTTCAATTTTCCTCTTTCTTCCCCAGTATTTTGTTCCTAATTTGCCAACTTAAAAGTGAGAAATGTAAATAATGATACTGTAATTATTAGAATTACAGTAACAACCATGGGGTTTCTAGGAATTTTAATTAAAATGGCAATGGTTGTAAAGATTTGAAATCCTATATATATATTTGCTTTTTGGGTATAAATCAACGCCGTTAATAAATTGTGATGCAAAATCCATTTTCTTCTTTTTATTATATATAATATAACTATTATTTTATATACATATATACACACGTGTTTTATTACAGAATATATACATATACACACAGGAAGTGTCCTTTTTCTCCTTCCTTTAGAGCTCCATCTCTTCCTCCACTGCAGGGTCGGTGTTTCCATAAAGAGGAAGTGATGTGGATGATGAGGCCTTCTTCAAAATGGTGGAAGGGAGGGGCTTCCACAGGACCAGCTCCATTGACGGGCGGCTCCTGGGGCAAAAATGAGGAGAAAACGGGCTCAAAATGGCTACCGTTCCCCTCAGAAGAAGGGATTCCAAAACAGCCACCATTCCCCATGGTTTCCCCTTAAGAACAGATTCAAGATGGCAACTCCCTTTGCCCTAGACTCCATTACACTATAGAAGAGATCCAAAATGGCCACCCCCTTTGCCTTACACTCTTACAGAGATCCAAAATGGCAGCCATTCCCCATTATTTTTCCTGCATTAGCATTCAAAATGGCAACCCCCGTCGCCTCATACTCATAGAGATCCAAAATGGCTGCTATACCTTCACACTTCATTGGACTCTATAGAAGAGATCCAAAATGGCCACCCCCTTCGCCTCAAACTCGTAGAGATCCAAAATGGCTGCTATCCCATCACACATCATTGGACTCTATAGAAGATATCCAAAATAGCCACCCCTTCACCTCAAACTCATAATCCAAAATGGCTGCTATCCCTTTGCCTCAAATTCACAGATCCAAAATGGCCACCATTCCATCACACTTCATTGGACTCTATAGATGAGATCAAAAATGGCCACCATTCCCCATTATTTCTCATCAAAAGATTCAAAATGGCAAACTCCTTTGATCCGAAACTCTTATGGAGATCTAAAATTGCTGCCATTTGTTCACACCCCATTGGACTCTATTGAAGAAATTCAAAATGGCCACCTTTCCTCATTTTCCCTCAAGAACAGATTCAAAATGGCAAGCACCTTTGCCACATACTCTTACAGTCAAAATGGCCACCATCCCTTCACACGCCAATGCACTCTATAAAAGAGATCCAAAATGGCCAACATTTCCCATTTTCCCTCAGGAACAGATTCAAAATGGCCTCAGACTCATATAGACGTTCAGTGGCTGCCATTCCTTCACACACGATTGGATTCTAAGAAAGAGATCCAAAATGGCGGCCCACTTCAACTAAAACTCTTATACAGGGTGCGCCAGCATAATTTCCTTTTTTTAAATGCGCGCCATTCAGTCGGTTGAAGACGTAGCGGAGCACTAGTGGTCTCGTTCGAGAGGCGAGAGTATAAAGTTTTGTCCTGACACAGTTCAGTCGCCATCATGTGCTGGAACAGCGAGGAGCGTGCTTTTGCCATTAAGGCCTACTTTTCGAGCGGATCTGGAGTTGCCGGCCCCCTCTCCAGATTTGGCCCCTTGTGATTTTTTTCTATTTTTTTTTTAATCCCGTGTTTATGTGAACCGTCTAAGGACCCTACAAGGTTTGAAGACCAACATCCAGGAAGAAATTGCTAACATTAGATTAATATGTCAAAAACGAAGATATTAACTAAGAATGTAGAAAAGAAAAAACAGGATATGATTAATAGGCTTGTTTGATCAAGAAAAAATTTGGTTCCAAACTCGCTTCGTTTCCAGGGGGCGCCAGCGTTTCGAATTTTGAGGACTTCCGAAATTTAAGATTTCGAAATTTCGAAATTTACAAAATTTCGTTAATTACGAATCGATTCGTTAAGGGCGGACGCGATTGCGCAATGCGCTAAAAACACCTCCAAACGGGACGGGGAACTTCTGAAGCATCCCTCTCCCTCTGTTGCTGACTGTTGGTGATAAAACTTACAACTAACAGAAACCAAATTAAAATAAATTCAGGATGAAATTAAAATACATTAGTAAAATACATTAGTAAAAATACAAATTAAAATCACTTTAAATTAATCAAATAATAAAATAAGATAAATAATAAAATAAAATAATAAAATAAGTAATAAGATAATAAAATATCTCCAGGAGGAGGAGGAGGATGGGGAGGAAAGGCAACGCTGGCACCTTTTCTCTCCTTCTTTCCCGTCTTAATAATTACGAAATAATTACGAAAATTTGGAAAAATTGTTTCGATTCTTAATTACTCTTCACACTATTCCTGCATGGCTCGATACTGGATCGTAAGCTAATTTAAATATGAATTAATAACGACTTTAGAAACTAACGAACACGACAAACAAGCATAATGATTAAGGAACAAACAGGTCTGGAAATAGTTAAAAAAATTAAATACCTGGGAGTTTGGATAACAAGCAAAAATGGTCAATTATTGAAGAATAATTATGAAGAGATGTGGACAAAAATTCAAAAGGACCTATTAAAGTGGACACATTTGAAATTATCATTATTAGGCCGGATATCTTTAATTAAGATGAATATATTACCGAAACTGATGTTTCTTTTTCAGAACTTCCCAATAATTAGAAGTCAATCACTTTTTGTAAAATGGAAAAAAGAAATTTTAAAATTTATTTGGGCCGGAGGAAGGCCAAGAATAAAATACGATAAGCTGATTGATAAGAAATCTAGAGGCGGCTTAGGCCTCCCGGACTTTAAAGCCTATCATGATGCTTGTGCTTTGATGTGGATTAAAGAATGGATATTACTGAATAACGAAGATTTATTAAATACAGAAGAAAATGATTTAAGAGTAGGCTGGCATGCCTACTTGTGGTATGAGAGAGAGACGAAGGAAAAGAATTTTGGCAATCACTTTGTCAGAGCGTCGCTGTTGAGAGTCTGGCAAAAATACAAAAAACATCTCTACTCTAAAACACCTTTATGGATCTCCCTGATGGAAGCACACCAGCGAAGACTTTTAGGTTGGAGAAGATGGCCAACGTATAGAGACTTGTTAAATAAGAGTACAAATACTATTAAGACATATGAGGAGTTAAAACAGAAGTTTACAAATCTTTCATGGCTACATTATATGCAAATTAAAGAATACTATAATCAAGATAAAAAGTTAGGCTTCAGTTGGGAAGAAGTAATATGGGACAGGATATTAAAAATGGGAAAAATAATATCCAATATTTACAATATATTACTTGACTGGCTGACCGAAAAAGAGCAGGTTAAAGAGTGTATGATAAAATGGGCTCAAAATCTAAGAAGACCAATCCAAATGAGAGAGTGGGAGCAAATGTGGAACAGAAAATTAAAATATACTTATGCAACAGATTTAAAAGAAAATTGGATAAAAATGTTCCACAGATGGTATACTACACCAAAACAATTAGCTAAAGTGTATAAAACAGTCTCGGGTAAGTGTTGGAAATGTAAGGACCAACTTGGATCCTTTTACCACATGTGGTGGATGTGTAAAGTGGCAGTTAATTTTTGGGCAGCGATACACGAAGAAACACAAAAGATTTTAAAAAGAAGTTTTGTGAAAAAAACAGAATATTATCTATTAGGGTTTACGGATATGGATTTACAATTAAATGAACAAGAAGATAAAGTTTTTACATATATTACGACAGCTGCCAGGATTGTTTTCGCAAGAGAATGGAAAGAGGAATCAATTCCACCAATAGAAGAGTGGATAGGGAAGATTAAGAGAAATAAAAGATATGGACGAATTGACTTTTTTGTTGAAGAAAAACACAGGTAATATTTTAAAGAGGACAAATTGGGACCCTCTCGATAACTATCTAGAAAATTTGCAAAAATGACAATAAATACGAGGGACAATTTTTCTCTTTGAGAAGTAATTTTTTGTTTTTATGAAAGAAAGATTATTGCCAAGAAGATAAAATGGAAGTCATCCTTTTTTTTCTCTTCTCTTTTTTCTTTCCTTTCTCACTTTTTAAATATTTTATTGTTCTTACTCGTTGTATTCTTTTTATAAAAGTTAATAAAATTTCTTTTTAAAAAAAAAAAAAGAAATTGCCAACATAACGCCTGCTATGCTGGCAAAAGTCATGACAAACGCCAGAAATTGGTTTACTCAGTGTATGGAGAATGGGGGACGTCACCTACCTAATTTGATCTTCAAAACTACGTAAAACAAAACTTTAGGTATGCGCCTACATTATAAAAAAGAAAATAAATATTTCTGATTCATACAATGGGTTTTATTAAGTTTTGATAAAAGGAAGTTATGCTTCCTCACCCTGTAGAAATCTGAAATGGCTGCCTTTGCCCCACATTCCAATGGGCTCCTCTATAGATTCGAAAAGACATTCAAAAGGGCAGCCCCTTTACCTCTCTTATCGTGATTCAAAATGGCCACCATTCCCCAATAGGAAAGAGAGAGAGGTCTACATCTTTTAAGAAGCCTTTAAGGGATTCAAAATGGCTATCTTTCCCATTGTTTTCGCCTCAAGCAAAAGATTCAAAATAGCCACCCTCCATAGACATTATTATTTCTCCATTGTTTTTTCTCAAAGAAAGGATCCAAAATGGCCGCCTTCCCCCCAATAGAAAACATTATGATAGTACCTTGAAAAGGTACCATATATTCCGGGGTATAAAACTACAGGGGCTATAAGACGACCCCCCAATTTTAGAAGGCAAAATAGAGACTTGGGGATATACTCGCCGTTTAAGACGTGTCCCCAAATCAGGCCTTCTGCTTAGGCCGCTCTCGGGAAGCCCTTCTGCTTAAGCCACTCTCCTTCCTAGCGAGGCCTTGCGAGAATTGTGTCTTCTCCCACAAGACAACATGGCCTGGCTAGGAAGGAGCACTGCTTAGGCCGCACGGGACGCAGCCCAGGGGCCCGGCCGCCAAGGAAAGCGGCCTAAGGAGTGAGGCCGCCATGAGCGGAGGGGGAGGGGAGCCCGAGGCCAAGGCAGCCAAGTACAGTAATTTTTTTGTTATTTTAATTTTATACCTGGGGTACTAGACGACCCCCAAAATTTTATAATTTTAGATACCTAAACTTTGTGTTTCTAGGTGCAAAGATTACTGCAGATGCAGACTGTGGCCAGGAAATCAGAAGACGCTTCCTTCTTGGGAGGAGAGCAATGTCCAGTCTCGATAAAATAGTAAAGAGTAGAGACATCAGACATGGCAACAAAGATCCGCCTAGTCAAAGCCATGGTATTCCCTGTAGTCACCTACGGATGTGAGAGCTGGACCTTAGGGAAGACCGAGCGAAGGAAGATCGATGCTTTTGAGCTGTGGTGCTGGAGGAAAGTTCTGAGAGTGCCTTGGACTGCGAGAAGATCCAACCAGTCCATCCTCCAGGAAATAAAGCCCGACTGCTCATTGGAGGGAAGGATACTAGAGACAAAGTTGAAGTACTTTGGCCACATCATGAGGAGACAGTAAAGCCTAGAGAAGACAATTATGCTGGGGAAAGTGGAAGGTAGAAGGAAGAGGGGCCGACCAAGGGCAAGATGGATGGATGGCATCCTTGAAGTGACTGGACTGACCTTGAAGGAGCTGGGGGTGGTGACGGCCGACAGGGAGCTCTGGCGTGGGCTGGTCCATGAGGTCACGAAGAGTCGGAGACGACTGAACGAATGAACAACAACAAAGATACCTAAAAAGTCATCTAGTACCCCGGAATATACAATATTTCAAAATGGCCACCTTTCTCCATGGTTTCCTCACAGGAAAGAGATTCAAAATGGCCGCTTTTCCCCAATAGAAAACAATGGGGCCTACACCCTGAGAGAAGCCTTTCTCCATTACTTCCAAGATGGTGGCTGCACTCACTTACATGGACTCGAGGATCCTCTTGGTGAGGCCGCCCCCCTCGTGGCCAAAGTCCTGCTGCTGCCGCCTGAGGCTGGCCTTCAGGGTCTCTGATAGGACCAACATGGGCAGTCCAACATGGCTGACGTCGCCATCCTGCCTCACAAGGCTGTCGTTCCCATCGTCGTCGTCATCTTCATCGTCGATGATTCTGACAGGAAAGAGAGGCCAACAGTCAGCCGACTAGGCCTTCAATATCCAGGCCTACAACTTCAACAGCCTCGGTGGTGGTTTGCATGCAGGTCAGAGGGAGAGGCATTCTGGGAAACGTAGTCTCACCGCTCTTCGATCTCCCTCAGCCGCCTCAGGGTTGCTGTTTCCTCCATTTCGACGGATTCGCAAGAAGTGGGCAGTGCCTCGGAGGGGGGCGGGGCAGGAAGGGTGCTCTGGCTGCCAATCAAGAATGGCCCCTCCTCCTCCGTCATCCGCTTCTTGGGGAGGGGGACACTGTCAGAGAAGGTAAACAAGGAAACAAAGAAACAACAGGCCCAGCTGGATTAGAAAGCATATATTTATAATAATATAATAGTAGATAAATAATATAATATTAGAATAATCTATATAAATAAAATTTTTGTTAGTTTGTGGGATTAACAGAACTCAAAGACCACTGGACAAATTGGCACCAAATTTGGACACAAGACACCTATCAGGCCAACGAGTGACCATCACTCATAAAAATACTGAAAAACACAGCAGAAGAGACTGAAGAATCCAAAAAACAAAAAATAAATTACAACACATGCACAAAACCATATATGTACAGAAACACACATATATACACATAAACACAAATATAGACAGAAATACACACACATAACATACACAGAAAGAGGGAAGGGAGGAAGGAGAGAAAGAGGGAAAGATGGGGGAAGGAGAAAAGGAAAGAAAGAAAGGTAGAGAAGGAAGGAAGGAAATAAAGTGAAAGAGGGAAGGACAGAAGGAACGAAAGGAGAAGAGGAGGGAAGGAGAGAAAAAGAAAGGTAGAGAAGGAAGGAAGAGGAGAAGGAAATAAAAAAGTGAAAGAGGGAAGGAGAGAAGGAACGAAAGAGAGAAAGATGGAGGGAAGGAAAGAAAGAAAGGTAGAGAAGGAAGGAAGAAGAGAAGGAAATAAAAAAGTGAAAGAGGGAAGGAGAGAAGGAATGAAAGAAAGACGGAGGGAAGGAAAGAAAGTGAAAGAGGGAAGGAACGAAAGAGAAAGACAGAGGGAAGGAAAGAAAGAAAGAGAAGGAAGGAAGGAGAGAAGGAAATAAAAAAGTGAAAGAGGGAAGGAGAGAAGGAATGAAAGAGAGAAAGATGGAAGGAAGGAAAGAAAGTGAAAGAGGGAAGGAGAGAAGGAACGAAAGAGAGAAAGACGGAGGGAAGGAAAGAAAGAAAGGTAGAGAAGGAAGGAAGAAGAGAAGGAAATAAAAAAGTGAAAGAGGGAAGGAGAGAAGGAATGAAAGAGAGAAAGGCGGAGGGAAGGAAGGAAAGAGACAAGGAAGGATGGAACCAAAGAGCAAAGGAAGTAAGAAAAGAAACAGATAGAGAAGGAAGAAGGGAAAGAAAAAGAAGGAAGGAAGGAGAGAGAGACAGAAAGAGGGAGGGAGGGAAGGTTGGCCACAGCAACGCATGGCGGGTACAGCTAGTCTATATAAATAAAAATGTTATGTTAGAATAGAATAATAACAATGTAAATATAATAGAATATTAATATAATTATAATAAAAATAATACACATATTATAATAAATTAATCTATATAAATAAAAATGTAATGTTCGTTTGTGGGATTAACAGAACTCAAAAACCACTGGACGAATTGACACCAAATTTGGACACAAGACACCTAACAACCTTGTCCTTCACTCATTGGGAGTTGTAGTTGCTGGGATTTATAGTTCACCTACAATCAAAGAGCATTCTGAACCCCACCAATGATGGAATTGTACCAAACTTGGCACACAGTTCTCCCACGACCAACAGAAAATACTGGAAGGGTTTGGTGGGCAGTGTCCTTTGGTTTTGGAGTTGTAGTTCACCTACATCCAGAGATCACTGTGGACTCAAACAATGATGGATCTGGACCAAACTCTACACAAATACTCAATATGCCCAAATGTGAACACTGGTGGAGTTTGGGGAAAATAGAATCTTGACATTTGGGAGTTGTAGTTGCTGGGATTTATAGTTCACCTACAATCACTGAGCATTCTGAACCCCACCAACAATAGAATTGATCCAAACCTCCCACACAGAACCCCCATGTGAACCACAGCAACGCGTGGCAGGGGACAGCTAGTAAAATAATATAAATTTAATTATATATATAATATTAATGTTTTATTGATATAATATATTAATACTATAACAAATATAGATATTAATATTATGCTTTTATATATAATTACATATATATTATATTATAAATTTAATCATACTTATAAATATTATGTTTTATTATGATATGAGGAGTCCTTCTCACCCTTCGGGCTCCTTTCCGCCCATTTTGTGCTTCCTTCCCCTCCTGCAAACCCTAAAGAGAAAAAAAGAGGGAGAAAAGCCTATTTAGAGGCGTTTCAGGCCCTAATCACGTGTGAATCCCCGACCCGCAAGCGACGCGTGTCCGCACCGGGGCCGCTCTCTCCGCGCGGCGCTTCCGGGCCCGGCGGCGAAAAGGGCGCCCGCTTCCACCCGTGCAGCCATCATCCTCACGGCCTTTCCAGACCCTCCGCTACCGAGACGCGTGTCTTTCCTGCCTGCCTTCGCTCCTCAAGATTTCCAACGCACAGCACACCGGGAAACGTAGTCCCCGCCTGCACAAAAAAATGGTTTCGCGCATGCGTGGTTTCCCTAAACGAAGCACATGCGCAGTATGATATGGTTGGGGCTTTTCCCCCCGCGGTTTCTTTTCTAGCCCGTTTCTAAAAGCCAAAGCCAAGCAATCTGGATTTGCGCATGCGTGGTTGTTCCTGAAGTTTATGCATGCGCATTATGAGGTAGCTAGGTTTTTTTTTTGCCGAATGCCTGCGCATGCGTAGTTCCCTATTTATTTTTGCTATTAATATTATTTTTTTCTATTATTTATAAACATATCTTACTGTGTTGTTCCATTATTATTATTATTATTATTATTATTATTATTGCCATTACTGTTATTTATTACTATTATTATTATTATTTTATTTCTATTTTTATTATTTTATTTCTATTTTT